CCCCCCGGTGCCCCCACCACCCGCGTTCACACCAGAGAGCGTCCAGCCCGTCCAGCTGTTCTCCCAAGAGGGGCAGCCCGAAGGGACCAGGACCAGGACAGGCGGCTCGGCTCGGCTCTGGGCCCAGACGCCCAGTGACCAGGGGGAGCCTCGCGCCCCCTCGGTGTTCCCGTCTGAGGGAGGGGCGGGCGCGGGCACATGACCCGAGCCCCTCAGTTCTGAGGGTCTGGGGTCCAGGTTAGGAGGCGCAACCGGAAGCCTGGAAGATTCTGGGCACCAGACTCATGGCCTTGGCCAGGCCCCGACCCCCAACTCACCACGGCGGCGGCTCCGGCGGCGGCCAGGGACGTCCAGCAGAGGAGCAGGGCCAGCAGCGCGCAGCACAGCGCCCTGGAGAGGGTCGTGTGGGTCCCGGGCCGTCACCTCACGGCCTCCGGCGCCCTCCCTCTGGCCCCCTGACCCCAGTCTCGTGGTCCCGCAGGCAGCCCGGCTCCTGCCCAGCGCTGGCCTGACCGAGCCTGAGGCCGGGCTCTGGGCGGGGCGGCCAGGGACCCCGGACACAGCAAGCGGGGTGGGGGTGGGGGTGGGCTGGTCAGGGAGGCTGCAGGCTCTGAGGCCTGGGCTGCTCTTCAGCGCTCGGCAGAGATGGGGGGCAGGTCTCCGCCGGGGGCACCGCCCTCACCTACTCATCCCCACAGCTGGGCTACTCACGAGGCCAGGAGACACCGGGAGCGCCTGGCCAGCCCCAGGCAGGCCAGGACGCAGATGACCAGGTCCAGGACGAAGAGCAAGAGGTAGGACAGCCACCTGGATGGAGGGGGGGCGTCAGGGGCCCCTACCGGGGAGGCCAGAACGGCAGTCCAGTCGCTGGGCTCCTTGGGTAAGGCGCTTTCCGGCCGCTGCCCTCAGGGCACGCCAGCAGCTACGCAGACAAGGGCCTGGCGTGTGTGGGGGGATGGCCCCAGGGGCTCTGCACCCCACTCGCAGCTGGCAGCAGGGATGGTCGGCCGCCTTTGAGCTCCCCACACCTGTAGGGGAGCCAGCAGGCCCGGCAAGGGGCGATGCCCGCTGTGCTCAGGCCGCGAGGCCAGGCGGGGTCGGTCCGGGCGCTGCTGCTTCTCCCAGCACAGGCAGGAGGACCCGGGAGACCTGCGGCCTTGAGGACCCTGCCTGGCTGCTTCCCCTCGCCATGGGGGCCCAGGCCTGCTCGCAGCTCGGCACCCATCTGCCGAGAAGCCACTGCTGCTGCGCCTGCACTCAGGAGCCAGTCTGCGAGCGGGGTGCGGAGGGGCTGGGCCCTTCTCAGGCAGGGTGTGCACGCACCCTTTCTCTTGGCGCAAGAGCCAAAGGCGTGCTCTGACCCACCCGCTCCTCCTCGCACGTTTTCTCCACCAATACCAGAGAGCGCTAAGGGGGAGTCCGAGTGTGTGGTAGGGAGAGAGGCAGAACTGGAGGGAGACTGAAGGCTGGGGTGGGCTGGGGGTGTGAAGAGTCGCTGGCGGCCACCTGGCAGCCAGGTGAGGGTCTCTCCACCCTGGCGAGGGCCGTTTAATGCCCCCAAAGGGGTGCAGGTGAAACCTCCGACTCCCTGGGCAACAGGTGGCCCCTGTGGCCCCCGGGGCGGCGCGGGGCTTCGGGAGCAAGCACAGAGCTGGGAAGACCTCGGGAACCTCCCTGGAGGGGGCATCCGTCTCCCAGGTGGAGAAGCCGAGGCCTGGGCTGTAGCCTGGCCCGGGCGTTCCAGAACCCCGTCCGCAGCCTTCCTCTAAGAGACGGCAGCCAGACGCCTCTCGGAAGCCGGGGTTCGGGGTGTCCCCCGCCCTTGCCTCTGCACCGGCAGGAAGTCAGGCCGGCTCGCTCCTGGGTCAGCTCTGCAGCACTGCCTCACCCCGAGGGGCAGGGGATGCCCCGGGACGCGTTTCTAGCCAAGAACTCAGCTCTGGCCTGCGTCCACGCTCCTCCCACATCCTGCCCCTGTCCAGTCCCGCGGCTGGACCTCCAGAGCCTCTCCCACGGGTGGCCTGTTGGCTTTTCATGGCTTCCAATACGTAGCCAGGCCTTGTAGCAAAGTGTTAAAATATTACTGCCTCGCTCGATGGCTACGCTCCACAGCCACCTGGAAAGCACCTGGGGGGTCTGAGCAAGGGACCCTAACCCCTAGGTCGATGAGGTAGGCCCGAGACCCGGGGCAGCGGCTGGGAGGAGACTCCAGGATGGGCGCCAGGCCAGACCGGCGTCGGTTCCAGGAGCCACGGCACCAGCCTCCATGAAGCAAGGTGGGGTTTGGGGGTGGCGGGCCTGGGGAAGCCCCCACGCTGACATAGAGGCGATGCAGCTGCCATCAGCCACCCCTCCATTTTGAAAGAATCACTTTAAAAATAAGCTCCTTTGGGGCCCTCCCTGGTGGCGCAGCGGGTTGAAGCACAGCACCGCGAAGCTAAAGCCCCTGCAGCACGAGTTCGATCCGTGGCCAGGGAGGGGCCCCAGGGCGCAGCAGGCCTCTCCTGCCTCCCCGCTGCTCCCCTCAGCAGTGGGTCTCAGTCCATCTGCCTGTTTCTGCTCCCCACTCTGTCCCTGGTACATCTTCTTCCCACCCCTGTACCTCTGGCCTGTACCCCAGTTCTGTATGTGTAAATAAATAAATGTTTTTTAAAAAAAAGCTTTGATCTATTAACCTAACTCATTTCACCCACGGGAGTGTGAGGATATCCATGAGGGCCTCAAGTGAACATCCGTGGTCACACTCCAAGGAGATGGACAGCAGGGTCAAAATGGACACCAGGTCCTACCTTCCCCTCCAACGAGGCCCTCCCATGGCACAAAGATTTCAGGGCTCAGGCATCGAGTGACTCTGGTGTCACAGGACTCCATGGGGCCACAGTTCCCGGCCACCGGGCACAGCCTGCCGGCTCTCCCTGAGCTCGGGGAAGAGGGGAGAGGCCCGCGTCCCCGGGGAAGGAAGCACAGGGGAGACAGGCTGTGGGGGGCGGGTCCTGAGCCCAGGAGCCTCGGACAGGCCCCGCCGCCCCCCACCCTGGAGACCTAGGGGGAGGATGTCTCTGTACTCAGACTTGGTCCATGGGGGTCGGGCTTTCTCACAAAGGGGAGACGGCCCCAGAAAGCCAGAAGAAATGACCCGCAGCACTGCGGCAAAGCCTGGGGTCTGGGCGAAGGGCTGGAGGAGGTGGGCTGCAGAGAGCTGGCACCTGCTCTTCACAGCTCATTAATCCACCACCCCAGCACTGCCCGTCAGGTGCGGGACACCTCCCAGATGCCCCTTCACTGACCCCGCGCTGGAGTCGGGGCAGCCGCCCTGGTCCCCTGCCCCGTGTCCAGCGCCCACCTGGGATGGAGTCGGGAGAGGGGGAGGCTGCGGAGACTGGAGGCGGGGGCCCCAAAGACGAGGCAACGCGGTGTGCGTGCATGTCTGAGCGAGCATGGGCGTGCCCAGCCCCCTCGTGCAGGCGCTGCATGTGTGAGACTGGGGGTGTCTCTGGGCTTGCCGAGAAGTCACAGTTGGAGAGGCTCTGTGCAGGCAGAGGCCGCCGCCTCCTTGGCCCTGGGCAGGCTGGAGTGCAGGCAACTATCCCACAAGACCCCTCCCCCGCGCCGCTCCACCGAACGCCCTCATAGCCTCCGGTTCCGGATAGTGGCTTCCAGAGGCACCCCCCCCACCCCCGTGCAGGCCCCGCCGGCCCCTCACCTGTAGTACTCCACTTGGCCCGTCTGATCGGTCAGCTCGGTCAGCTCCTCGGTGACCTCCGTCCACACGGGCACGACGGTCAGCTGGACCATGATGTTGGCCGCCATCTGCTGCATGAACTTGAGCGTCTGCAGGTAATCCCCCCGGGAGGCCAGGATCTCACGGAGCCGGGCCAGGTGCTGCTCCAGGTCCACCGTCATGGTCTGCGTGGTTTCGGACACCTACGAGGACCCTGAGGGTGAGAGCGGCCCTGGCCGGAGCTCCCGAGTCCAGTCTGAGAAGCCGGCGGGACGCAGCTCGGTGGGGGGGGCCTGGGACCTGTCGCCGTCCCCCACCCTGGGCCTGACGGGCGTCTGCACAGAGGACAGAAGGGGGCCCCCTGGCCGGCTGCCTCACGGCCCTCCGCAGGGTGGAGAGACAGCCGGAGCGGACAAGGGCGGGCCATCTTTCCTGAGCTTTCTCTTCCTTTAGGCCCTTTGCATCATTTGCATCACGAATTTGCTTGCAGAGTGAGGAATGTGAGGCAGAAAGGGGGCGTCCCTCTGCTGTGACCCCACTGCCACCCACCCGCGACTACTCCACGCCCGGAGGGGAAGGCCTTGCTGGGCTGCAGCTGCTCCAGCCCCGGGGCCCCTCCCGGCCTCCCCAGGCCGGTCAGTGTCCGAGGGAAACGGTGCTGGGCGCCAGCGGGTGGACGGGCTCGCTCCCTCCGCTGAAGCGCGCGCCCCCAAGGAAACTACCCCGTGCTCAAAGGCAGACGGGGGACGGCGCGTGGCTGTCCCGGACTCCGCAACCAGGCGCACACGTGTGCGCGTGTGAACACGGTGTGCTTGTGTCCACGCGTGTGCGTGCATGTACGTGCGTGTGAGTGTCCAGGGGCACCTCTACCCATCAGCCTTCAGCTCCCCAGGTCTGCAAGGGAGATGAACAGGACCCTGCGGGGCAGGTGCCCTGCGGTGCCGCTCAGCCCGGAGCGGGCGAGATGGGGAGCTGGCACCCTGCGGGGGGCCTGGCAGCGCCGCCCGGCCGCGCCAGCTCCCTGCGCCTGCGGCTGCTTTCCGGGGCAGAATGGCTCTTTGTTCTCTTTGTTTTTTCAGTGTCAGTGGCTCGTTCTGTTTTCTGGCTTGTTCCTGTTTCTTACAAGCTGGTGGGGGGTCGGGGATGCCAGAGCCCAGACAGCCCCCCTGACAGACTGGCAGCTTGGAGCTTCGCACACAGAGCACATGTCAGCGGAAATCAGTAACCGACCGTCCCCGGGACGCCTCCCTTTCCAGCTCGGTGAGGTCAACGTGCCAGCGCTTCGCACCGTGGCACAGGCAGCCCCTGCCTGGTCGATGTCCACATCCCTCCGCCTGGACAACTACCTTGGGGGCCAGGGGCTGCTAAAAGTCTTCTGGATGTTTTCTATAAAATCCCCTTTGCTCCCTCCCTCAACTTTTTATTTCCTAAATTCTTCCTTAAAAAATAAAAACAGTAAACACCTGCCAGCCTAGGTCCTCAGAGGTTAGGCAGGCAGCTCCCTGCAGGGAGGCCTAGGTGGGGCGGGGAGGGGAGGGGGAGAGGGGGAAGGGGGACGGGGAGGGAGGGCGGGCGGCTTCGGGAGTCTTCTAAGTGTCAGCCTCAGAAGCTGAGAAAGAAAAACAGCTTCCTAGGTGCCTGGGCCGGAGCCTCGGCCACCGGCTGCCGCGCCCCGGCGTCTCCTGACCCCGGGCAGCGCTTGCAGCTGGCTTAGAGACAGGCCTACACATGGCCCCACGCACAGGCCGGCCCCCAGGGGCACCTGAGACTGCCGGTAAGTCGGAAGGGCGAGGGCCCACGGTGACCTTGGAGAGGGGCTTGCTGCTTGAAGCCGGGGCCGCAGGTGAGCAAAGGGCACCCCCTCTCCTTGCTAGGTCAAGGTCGCCTCGGGGTGGAGGGCTGAGGCTAACGGACGTGGCTTCCCGGGGCGCCAAGCCCCCCGTTTTACCTGCAGGAGGGAGAAAAATCCCTTCACAGCAAGCGCTCTCATAGAAAGGGAGGCGCCGCCGGGCCAGGGGGCTCAGCAGGCCGCAGCCCCCCAAGGCCCAGGCCAGGGC